GCGCTGATAAACCCGCGGCGGCTCCGCCTCCGGCCGGCCCGGCGCTCCACGTCAGGAACGGCCCGGCCCGCCGGGAAGCGCCGGGGAACCGCCGGGGAACCCGCCCGGCTCCGCGCACACACACACACACACACACACAGACACACACTGAGAAGTCCTCCCACCGCGCTCCCGCGGCATCCTTGGTGCTCCCCGTCCTTGGCACGTGTGCCTGAAATCCACCAAGAAACAACCTTCCCTTCCATCCGTCCATTCATCGTCCATCCCGCCATCCAGCGCTGCCTGCACAGGGATGCTGGCATCACACCCTGGCAGGGACTCCCACAGCAGCTCCCCAGCCTGGGACCACATCCCCAAGCTTTCGTATTTCCAATCAACCCAAGGCAGCACAGAGAAAGCTACTGAGTCTTAATATAGAATGGTTTGGGTTGGAAAGAACCTTAAAGTTCATCCAGTTCCACCCCCCTGTCATGGGCAGGGACACCTTCCACTAGCCCAGGTTGCTCCAAGCCCCATCCAACCTGGCATTGGACACTTCCAGGGATGGGGCAGCCACAGCTTCTCTGGGTAACCTGTGCCAGGGCCTCACCACTCTCATCATAAAAAGCTTCTTCCTAATATCTAACCTGAATCGATGCTCCTTCAGTTTAAAACCATCACCCCATGTCCTGTCACAACAGTTCCCAAGGGTCCCACTGGACTGGAGTCCGACACCAAAGTGACTTCTCTCCCCAACAGCCAGGAGCTCAGCACACAACACAAACAGCAACGGTGCCCAGTCTGGGCAGAACCCAAAATCCACTCGCACAGGACCTTCCACAGACAGAAATCTTCACAAACACGCTCTGCATATTCCTGGTCCCTTCTCTTTCTCTAGATGTCACACAGTTGAGACTGTGTGTAACCAGTTAGTAACAGACACCACTGTGCCACCCCCAAGGGTGGAACAAAACTTTTGCAAACACTTTTTAGGAGCCAGAGACTAAACAGTACTCAAAGCAAGGACTGAATTTTGTCAGGGTCAGATTTAGCCAGTGTTCCGAACATGTGGATCCCAATATAAAATCCAGTTTAAAACCATTCTGTTGAACCTCCTGCAATACCACACCTGTGAGACATCATGACCAACCCAAATCACTTTCTGATGGCCTCACATATTACTGACACAGTTTGCTGCTGCTCAAACGTTCTCAGAATGCCAGTGACAGCCTAACTATGAGTTTTAAGTTGACCCTGCCCACCAGAATCCTATCTACATGAAAAAGAAAACACTGGTTCTACTAAATCTAAGTTGCCTCAAAAAAACCATTAAAGAGGAGGAGAGCTCCAGGGTCAATTTTCAGGAGACACCTTCAATATTCCAACCACAGCAGCCCTGCTGTTTCAGAGGACACAGGTCCTGAACTGCACCGTGCTCTCTCACGAAGCCAAAAAAATAAAAGGAATTTTTCTGAGAGAGTGGGAATGTATCCGTTATTACACGTGTAGGATCATTTCTGTACACCTGCACAGCCCCAGTGCTCCCCAGGGGCAGCCCCTGGCATGGCAGAATCACTGCCTTGGCCTGGAAGAGACCTTACACCTCCTCCAGTCCTGCCATGGCCAGGGACACCTCCCACAGACACAGGGATCCAAACTCCTCACCTCTAGGAGAGCTGTTCCTATGTTCTTAAAAACACCCTTGTGATACAGTGTTGTGTCTGTTACTTCCCCTCCTCCATTTTTGAACTTTCCCAAACTGGCTTAAAAAGTTTCTAAATGTCAAAGAAACCAAGATACACAACAGACAGGGTTGGGGGCCAGGGCAGATATTCTGTTTTGTGGTCTGTCAAAGGCTTGACAGAATTGTAAGGGAGCAAAAATAAGGTGTTAAAATTAGATGCCTCATTATTTCTACTAAAAAACAAGACCGAGTGCCACAGCTGTAACACATGTAAATTGAGGCAGTATTTGGAAGTTCAATTAAAGCCATTTCTCATCTCCAACAGCCCAGCTTGGCCCCACTATTATCAAAGAAATCACAGATTTTGTGTTGTATTTCAAGTCTGATATACATACATATGCATATATGTATTTACATATGCATGTCCATATATATATCCGTTAAAAATCTGTTAAGCATTTGCAATTCTAAAATCCCTCAGGCTTTCTGCATCTGTGCAGCTTTGGCTGAGGCACGAGACTGACAGCCACAAATATTTTATGAACCTGAGGTTGGGCCCTGAAGCAAAGAGGCACTGAAATCTGGAAGGCTTTGCACAGGGCCAAGGTTTGGAGCAGGGAGGCTGCAGCAGGACTTGGCAGGGATAATACTCTGGGGAGTAAAACGTGGCATTACCTATCTGGAGCAGCATCTCCATGAGGTCTCACATCCTCTCGCACTCAAAACAATTTCAAAGTAAGGTATAATTGGAGCAAGAACTCAAACTGAGAAATTTAAAGGACCAAGAGAAGTTACTGATCAGGAGTTCTTGCAATGCTACTTAATACAGGCTTCAAATATTGATTTTTTTGAGACAAGCCCCTTGTAAACTCATGTATAGTGTAACTTAAATATAACATCTAGGAATAATACCTGTGGTCCAGACGAATCCCAGTCTTCACCAATCCTGCACACATACGTGGTTTAATGCTCAATTTTCCAGTGACATTTCCTGATATTTAGGAATAATGATAATTTACTGAGCTTCTGATCTGCTATGTGCATTTGATGATCTTTCTTACAAGCAGCCAGTTTGGAAAGCATTAATTCTGTTCTTTCTGCTGAAATCTGGGTTTGGTGTAAAATCCTGCCTTCCTTTAATGAACTTGTGCCTCAGGTTCTCCTTCTTCATGGAGTCTGCCCGGATGGAAATATAAGCCAAGGGGGGATCCCCCATGAGGCAGGGCTGGAGACCCAGATCCTACTCTGTGACACACCAGAACATGTGTCCATGACCTGCTCAGGTTTCCAGCCTTAATAAAAAGTAGAATTTACAAGAATCAAATTTTATGTCTAAAATATTGCCATTACAATGCAGAAACCCACCTCCTCTCCAGCTGCCCTGTGTGACAACTCCAGTCATGCTCCTAAAGCCTTTTTGGCTGAGATACCACAGTTAAATTAATTTTAACCTCATTTGCCACCCAGTGACTTGTCATTTCATTTCCAAACCTGCACAAGAATTTTTTTTTTGGCATTATCTGTGTTAGAAGGGGATCCCAGTACCAAGGTGCCAGACAAGGATCACCAGACTGCAGATGAAACACAAGCACTCTGTAAATGACAATGCCTCCAGTTTCTCCTTCGTGGCGCATTAAAACGGACTATTAAACCAAACAGACATAGTTAATTGTTTTAAAGCCACTATTAATCTAGCAGATTGTTACATGAAGAAATATAGTGCACCTGTTATTTTTAACAAAGCAGCCTAAGATTTATGGTCAAGATTTAACCACAGGAAACCGGAGGGAAAAAATGTGAGACACGAAAATTGCAGTTGTAAAATACATTGTGAAAAATAAAAAGGAAGGGAAAGAGGTAGTGCTTGTGAATTTTGTATTATAGGTACATGCCATAAAATTATTTCTGTTCTAAGGTGGTGAGTTTTGAAAAGATGTGTGCCAAATAAAATGCAAATAAACCCGCCCTGAATCCTCAAAAGAAATGATAACCCTGTTCCATGTCTAGGTTAATGGCTGGACTTGATGATCTTGAAGGTCTTCTCCAACCTAAACAATTCTGGGATTCTATGTGCACCTCCCTCTGGCTTCACCAGCTCCACACTATTCCTTTGTAACTTAGCAAGTGCTTTGGTTTTAGTCACATTCTTATAGAAATTTTTGGGGAGGGGGATGACTGCAGGGAGAGAAAGTAAGTATTTTTTCAGTGATTGCATTTCTGTCCCTGATTCACACAAAACAAGTTTCCCTTCGCAGGGAGGGAGGTTGCACACTTCCAACACTCCCTTACCTCTCACACATAATGAAAATCAGCTCTCCTGATGCGACTCCCTAAACCCAGAAAAGGCAAAAGCTGCACCACAGAAATTAAAAATGAAAAGTAAAAATCAGTAATATCCTGTTAAAAGTCAGTTCCCTCAGTGCCAATGGGAGTGGCTGATTCAGTTCCAGCTCCCCGCTCCGAAGAGTTAGGATGTTACCTGGTTACCTCACGAAATACTTCAAATCCGTCACGTCAGTAGTTTTTGTCACAGCAGTTTCTTTGATTCTATCCCAGAAAGCCATTCCGTGACACAAGAACAAACCCAGCAGCCGGAGGAGGGCTGCCAGCAGTCCCCACGTAAATGTTTTAATAATGTTTTAATAACCACTGCCATTGGATCCCAAGAGATAACGTCGTTCCTGGAAGCTGCCAGCGGCTCCAAGGGCACGCTGACCAGGACCGGGGGAAGTTGCAGACTGCGTCCCACCTAACCATAACCCTACACATCAGCTTTGCATGATTATTGTATTAGTGTCTATGGAGAAAAGAGGCAAACAGTTGATGCCACTATCCTTCCATTAAATGCGTCTTGGCATCACAGGATGCCAGGACAGAGACCCCTGGCCCCCTTAGCCCTCCTGAAAATCCCAGCCAGGAGCTGTGTGCACAGATCCTCCCAATCCACACACTTCCTGGGAAAGCATACAGGCAGGCAAGAATTAATACTTTGACTTGAATTTGCTGGGACGCTTCCAAATCACTTCCATTTCCAGAAGGAATTAAAACAGGTGCTTTGTCTCCACAAAGCGGCTTAAGCTAAAATCCTGATACCACTTGCTGCTCTCTCATGGGGTCATGGTCATTAAATATTTAAGCCAAAACAGCAGTAATTTGAGGCGAGAAAGTAGCAATGTTCAGCAGATAAACCCCTGCCTGTCCGGATTCCCCATCTCCGCTCGCTCTCCGTGAGGCTCCAGCTGCTTTAAGAGCTCAACACATCCACGAGGCACAACCCCAAATACTGTTTAAAAACCAGAAGCTTAAAAGAAAATGAGAACTGAGCTTCTGACCTTACCTAGGGTCATCTCACCACGTCACAGCCGGGGTTATTTCCAGGGCAGCGTGTGAGAGCTTTCACTGCAGCTGCTTCAATAGGACTTTGCCTGGGGATTAATGGATGACTTTGGCTTCTCTTTCTTACCAGCCTTTACAATTCAGGAGAACGCACAGAGGATTTCTTCTGCAGCAGTTGAGTAAAAAGACAAAAGTGAGCTAACCTCCTGACCTGCACAATAACCTCATGGAGGAATCCATTCAACAGAGCTGCTTGCTGTTCCTGGGAAAAGGAAGAGAAGAGGAAACAATACCTTGGATGCTGCTGAAGAGGGGAAACTACCACAGCGATACTTTTGCTCAACCTCTAGGCAACTTTTAACAAAAGTAGAAGGAGCGGGGACTTCCAATCCCAGGCACCAAAGAAGAGGGAGGGAAAGGGAGACCTCGAGCAGAAGGGACCATGTCTGGGGGATGCTCATGTTTGGTTTCAAGTATATAAATACATCTGTAAATCCCAGTGAAGGTAATGGAGGCTGCTCTGCCAGCTCCAATTCCAGCGTGTGACAGTCTGTCACCACCTGGGCATTCTCCAGAGCTGTGCTATGGCACAGGGGCTGCAACTCCAGAAACCCCCAGGACACCATGAGATGGCCAGATATTCTGAACTGCATGAAAAAAAAGGATTATAACACTTCACAGGGTATTATTTTAGGATTTCATTTACATTCCAGACTGTTTGCAACAAATTGCAGGATAATACCCGAAAATTCACCTCAGGTTAGCGGTGTAGTTACACACAGGTAAGGGTGTACATGAAAAGATGTGGGGAAATAGCTATAAACACAGACTCTTCATTGCTTCCTGCTGCTTTTCTGTTGGTTAGTCAAGCTCATCAGTGTTTATGACATCAAACACAACAGACAAGCATATATCTGTACTATGTTGTTACAAGGAGAAATGGTTAAAATCAATTTTAAAAGCTGAGCTTTGTTCCTACTGAAATTCCTCACTGCAGTATTTGTAAACTATGTCCTATTGCCCCTCTCTTTTGAGCGTTTCAAAGTGCACTTTTGCTTTTGTATGATGACTGTATTGAGAAATGCTTAAAAATATAATTCTTTATTGATTTATTTGGTTTGCACACCTTTATCCAGACTGGAATGCTCAGTTTAAGTGGCCCCTGGTTCCAGGAGGTGCCCTACAGTGTTGTCTGTCCCAGCAACACACAACACTTCATTTTGAAAACAATTAAAAATGGCAAAGCATCTGAAGACTAAGAAAACACTCAGGTTTTCTTATGTCCAACAGAATTTTTAAAAGGATATCACACTATCAAGATCAGCATAATTAAGGGATTCCAATCTCTCCTCTTTCCATCTTTATTTCCCAAATGAAACCACGGTACATTTTGCAAAGTGTAACCAGTAATACCATTTTTCCCTCTCTTGAGCCTCAAGTTGTGTGCAAAGTCACACAACACGTGTCCTTTGTTGGAGCCCTGATACCTCTGTGGATTTACTGGATTCAGCTGAGTTCAGGCAGTAAATTCAGAAGTTGTGCAGGAACATGAACAGCCATGAGCCCAAGCATTCTGGTGGTTTTAGTGGACTTAGAGAAGTAATGAAGCATAATTAAAGCATATTCCTTACCTTACAGTTCCAACTTTAATTGGGAATCTTAGCTTCCCCTCAAGCCTCCCAATCTGTGCAGCAGGTTCTGACTTCAGGACAAATTACAGGAGGTCCAAAACACAAGTGTAGTGTTCAGCTTCAAATGGGAAGTTCATCCTCTGAGGAAGTTCAAGCCAAATTTAAAATATCAGTAACTGCCACTGCTTCACTCCCTGCAAACATCCCTCACCTGGCTTTGCCTTGTCAGAGCCTGAGCAAGAGTACCTTCAGTGAAAGTACTGAGCAAGGTCCTCTAGTGAAACAGCCAAATAATTAGAATTTGTAAACTTGGATTCTTATTAGAAAAGAACTGCATCTTAAAGAAAAATGTGGTTTTTAATCTCAAAGGAAGAAAGGGCTTAGACCATCACTATTCAGTGTAAAACAAAATAAAGCAGCTCTCCTTTAATGATTCTCCCAGAGTGCCATGCAGCATGACACATGATCCTTTTCCTAGTCTCTTAATTTGCTATTTGCTGCTTTGCTGCTTTGTGGAAGAGACACTTGATACCACAGTCTTTTCACAGCCTTCATTCTAAGCTCAACTAGAACTTGAATTCAGCACAGGAGAATGAGGGAATTCAAACCCTGGGCAAAGTGAGTGCCAGCTCACAGCTCACTGATTCCATATTCAAATTAGAAACCCTCCTTAATTCTGCAAGCTCTGGGACGTGGGTGATCCCCTTCACTTCCTACTCACCCAAACCACTGATCAGGATCCATCAGGCAATGGCTGAGCCCTTCAGCCTTGTTTATCCCCCTTAGGATATGGTGTTTCTAATTGCCCTACAAGACATACTGGCACAGTCTTCCCATTTTCCTTAATAAAAACCAAAAGACTTTCTGAACGTGAGGCTCACATGTTACAACGTGAGTATTTAAACCTTTTCCTTAAAACCTTCTGTGGAAAGCCTAAAAAGCAATCACATAGAATACTAAAATGTGACTAACCTCAGCACTTTTTGGTCAGTCTCTGTAATTTTTAGCTGGCTTTTTAAACCCTTTGGGCTGGCAGCAGCATGTTCTGGTAACACAACTTTTATCTTTTGCAGTACATTAAGTCCTTGTCCTTTGCAGGTTTTACTGAATCTAACGCCTTAAAGACAAATAAAATAAAACAGTGCATAATTTTATCTATTTTTCTTTACAACTCTGTAAAGCTCTGTATTCTATGTGATTTAAACAGCAAAACCACTCATCAGCTCAGGTCATTTAAAAGGTTTTTAAGTATTGGACCGAGTTTACAGGAAAGCTTTCCCACACTGAAATCTGGCTCTCACTCCAGAGGTCTGGATGATTTAAAGTTACCTTCCTGGGCCATCTGTGCCAGCAGTGAGCTGTCCCCTCTGATAAGGGGCAGAGTGGAAAGAAATCAACAGTAACTCCTTAAAATCACCCTCAGTGGGAGGGGTGCCTGCCAGAGGTCAGGAATCCCAGCCCTGCTGCTACTGAAGCCCTTCATTTACTGTCCAGCGTTCCATGTGTGAAGTGATTGAGTGGTTGCTCTGTTCTGCCTTTCCAAGGCCCTTTCTATATTTAACCCATCACTGTATAAAACACCTCGGTGTGCCTCAAGTATGGGAGGCAAATACAGTAGGCAAATACATCTGAAGGGCTCAAAGAGAGCCCTGAGGACTGGAAAAAAGAGAAACCAGCATTGAAAATAACCTGAAATATTCTGGAGTGACAATCACGTTTGTCCAATAAAATGTTTGTCTGTTTGCCCAAAATAGGGTCCAAAATAGCTGGAGGATAAGAGGTGCCTTTATAGTGAGTCATTGGAAGGAAAACTGAGTCCCTTTGGTGGGCCCAGCCCAAGGACCATCGCAGGCAACGGAGGCTGTGAACCTGCCTGGACTTTGATTTACCCCTCCTGATGGCTCCTGAGTGCTGACAGCACAGCAATGCTTTATTCCCATTTTCATCTATCCTGTAATACCATTCCCAGCCCTTCATCCGTGTCTTTTTTTCATCCAAGCTTTCCACTGATGTGATCCATCTGTGCTGGCCTGGGCTGGGAATGCCCACCTCGTGTGAGTCAGCAGCACAACACTTACTCAAGATTCCTTTGCCAAATATCAACATAGTTATTGACATTAATCCCACTCTACCTACACCAAAGCACTCCTGTTTTTTGTACAGTGATACAGAAGAAGGAGACACCCCCAGTTAGCACAAACTGGTGTAGTTCCTTAGAAAACACTGGAATGCCACCAGGTAAGTACCTGACCTCACCAAAGGGTCGGTACATCCAAGGGATTACAGGATTTCAGCCTAAAATACAGATTAATAAAGGATATTGTTGCAGCAGGAAGAAACAAAAGGAAGAGGCACCAAGTGAAAAGAAGAAGTATGGTAGGAAAGAAGACTTTTTGGACAGTTAAAAAAGACAGAGCCCAAGTTAACAACTCTGGAAACCCTCCTGCTGGTCTGAAACTCCTTATCAAAGGACCCTTGGCCTTCTCAGTCTGGCTGATAAGCTGAGCAACCTTTCCCTTTTTATTTCAAAGCATCTCTTTTTAAAGTAAACACCTCTCCTGCCAGTGAGGATACAACCCAAGGTACATTATTTTCCACGAGGGAGGCCTTTTCTCCCATTAAGGGCGTTCCCATACACCATTGTCAACATTTAAGTCTAAATTTAGTGGGAAAAGATCTTTGGTCTCACCCTCTCACTTGACAGATTTATCTAAGAATCAAGGGAGTGATGAACTGTCAGTACAGGCTACATTTTCAAGTTCTTCATCTTCGTGACTGCTACCATTTATTAGAAATCAACATACAGGCCACTAAGACATCTTGAAAATGGATTAAGTTGAAGCTACATGATGGAAAAGTGCAAATAATTGTATTTTGTTTTGCTATTTTACTATATAAAGAAGACTTCTTTTATGACTGTGTGTACATATGTGCTTCCTTAATATGTTTGGGTTTTACTGTCCAATTTTAGCAAAATTTGGCAAATGGTGGAGATCTCCAAGACAGTCTCCTCGTCAAGGAGACTGTTCCTGCTAAATTTGCAATCTAAGCAGTAAGGTGAAGGAGTCCAAGTGGCTTTAAAGAAAAGCTGCACCATCAGCCTGGAAGGGAGAAAAGTCCTTCAAAACAGACCAAGGAAATACATGAACTACCTCTATTTAAGTATTTATACTTTATTGAAGCAATGCCATCACATGCACAGAAACAGTTCCTAAATGAAAAACAGAAAGATTTGATTTTGACTGCACAGGTACCTGTTGAAAATTAATTCTGGATTAAATGCCAAAAGTACTCAGTGTGATACAGATAAAGCAGATTACCCCTAAAATACTTGTCAGAACTTTTCCTTAAGGATCTATGAAGTGCTGTGCTACAGTAAAACACTTAAACACGTGAAGAACAGGAAACATCTATAATCCCATATAAGTGCTCTTATTTTTTTAGCTTCCTGAGTGCTTTGCCAGGGGACATGTGTACATATCATTTGAATTCAAAGTGTAAAAGCAGGAAATGAGAAAAATTAATGATTTAACTGTTAACCATTTTAAAAGATTTTAAATTTTCTTAGGAATTAGCCTAGGAGCAAAAATATGGAAAAAATACCCATCAGAGTCTTACTGATTTTAAATCCTGAACTAGGGATTTCCTAATAATATTGAAGCTTCAAAAAATCCAGGCTTGGATATTTTTTCAGTTTTGATACTGGTATAAAATCTTTTCTTGGAATTAAATCATAATTTAGGATTGCAATCTAGCAAGAAGGAACTGAAACAAAATGAAATCTAAACCTGCATGTCCAGAAGTGACACATTTTAATATTCTGCTGCCTAAAGTTCTGAGAAAATATACAGCTACCTTCCCAGGAAATTGGTTTTCATCACTTCAGAGCAAAGCTGGCTTGCTGTTTCTGCACCTGTACTCAGCACAATATGCTCTGCCTTTTCCAATAGGATAGTCAAGGTATAATCCCAATGTTGGGTGCAGTCCAAGCTATGAAATTAGATTTACCACAAGACATTTGGTGCCAAGACTGTGACATGAAAAGTCTGAGCTGAAAACACTGTTTTTTGCAAAGTAACTAATGGTTGTTACTGAGGGAGTCTCAGTAGGTCCTGCTTTTTGAAGATTAAACTTTTCCCATTTAAATAAACACAGAAAGATATTGGGCTGGTACTGTGTTAAAAAAATAGCCAGAGAGTCAGAGCTACCTTTATTAGGCAATATTCTTTATTTTTTCACCAAATAAAGATTATTTCAAGTACCTAATTTCAAATGGGGAGGTGATGCAGCTGCTTCTGCCCGTTGGGGCTGTACAGGCACTCAGTTCTCAGGGCACACACAGCCATAGGTAGGCTGGAACAGTGCCAGTACAGCAGCAGACTGGCTGGAATCAGTTTGGAATTAGAACTGGAAGAAGCCAACAGAGGACAAAGAAATATCTTGCTGAAGTGTTAAAAATCTTGTACCTCAGGTTACTTATTTCTGTGAACGAGGCAAAAACCTTGCAGTCAGAGGGCTGGCTCCCTTCTCACTGCTGCAGTCCCAAATCAATAACTCCCTCCCTCCCTGCTCCTCACTCTCACCTTCTTCCTACTTTGCTCAGCATCCAGAGTGTTCCAAGGGTGACCTGCTGATGTGCTCCCCACACCACAGAGTGGGAAACCACCAAGTGTCTGGATGGACAAGTGAGACGCTGAGACTCTTACCTGCTGCCTGGCTCCTTTCTGTGGGTGACCTTGCTGCTGCTGCAGCCCGTGCCAGCTGCACCACAGAGCCATTTCTTTGGAATTCACCATTCCCAACAGGGTGGGAGTCACTGCTTGGCAGCACTTCTGCACCTCTTGACTCACACAATGCTCTTGGCTCATTTCATGTCCTTTCCTTGAGCTACGGAGAAAAGAAACAAACTGCTGAACACCAAAATCAGCTTTAAAAAATGTCACTCAGTGATGTAATCTGTGAATTCTGTGTTCTAAGAAGAGGAAACATGCTCACTTCTAGACACATTAAAGCACATATAGCACAAGAGAGAAAACCAACTCATCTTCATCAGAAATCTACTTTAAGATCTCAAACATACTTGAAGTGACATTTAACCTCACCTGAGAAAGGTAATAGGTGATTCTCCATCCTCAAAATCAGCACTGAGGTGAAAGCTGCAAGCCCAGACAGTGCCTCTGCTGTGCAAGGTGCTGGATGAAAACACAGGACAAGTGACAACCCTGCAGAATTTAAAGAAAATGGAATTAAAGGTGCACAGGATTTAAGTGTCCTCCAGTGCCGGGCAGTTTGCCAGCTGCTGTTCCCTTTTTTTTTTTAAGAGAACACTCACTGGGAGTTCACCTGCACAGGCTGCTGAATAAAAGCAAATGCCATCCAGGTCGCTTGGAGTTCCAGGAACACAGAGGCAGCTCATTTGTCTGCAGCTACAGACAATGGATTGGCAGTGCAGGTCTGGGAAGAACTGAGGTGTCACCAGTAGGAACAGCACCGGGTGACAGCTCACATTTATGCGGCATCACAGCACCTAAAGAAAAGTGACCCTGAGGAGGTCACTCCAATTCCCTGAGGGATTTAATGCCCGTGGAAACTCAGAGTGAAGGAACTGCTGCCCCATCCTTGTGATGTTAGAGCTCTGACTGCCAGCAGGGATAAGGGGACCAGTGCCCTGGGGGCTGTCACTGCACAACTGTGTAGGAAAACAGCCTCTTCCCAACTGAAACGACTGGAGGAAATTTATTTTAAAACTTCCACCTATTTCTTTGAGGAAGAGGTCTTCAAATGAAACTTGTTTTTTTTTTAATGGGGCAGGAAACACCCCTTGATGCTTCTATAATTAAAGCAGGCAATGTAGAGATAGTTTACACACAGCCACTGTGTTATTTGGGAACATTTACCTCAAACCTCAGGCCAGGAACAGTGGGGAGACTACAATCAAAATGACAATTCCGACTGCTTTGGACCTTCATTTCCATGCTTTCCATCCTCTGAATGGCTCACACAAACCGAAACCATCCGGCATTTCAGGCAGCACGTTTGACTTAACAATGAGGCGACTGCCTCGGGCACCTTCGGGGTGCTGGGAATGACATGGATTTGCATTTGCAAAGGCCCTTTTTACTCCCTCCCCATACTTCAGCTTCCTTATCATCCCACCCTGCTCTCTCGGCCACCCCATCACGAGGCACAGGATAAAGCATGACCAAAACGCCCAACAGACAGCAAATGCTGCTCCCAAAGCCTCCAGCTCATCCTAACAAATCCAGATGTTGCTGTCGGAGCCTCGCCTCGCTGCGCACACCAGCTCTCTGGTCCTGCTTTAACTGTGGTTACTGCTTGGAACTGGGAAGAGGATCACTCCCAGGAATGCAGCTTAAACGAAGCCTCTGCATTTTAAGTGGATGTTTCTGTTTGGAAAGCAAAGCTTCAGGAAACAAGGCAAGGCACAGCCTGGAGAAGCGCTTCTCCGACGGCGGCACGGCTCAGACTGCAGCAGGAAGGAGCAGCGCGGCTGAGAGCAGCCAAAACAGAGACAATGAGAAACCTCTCTGGGCTGTTTGACATTGTGGGCTGGTCCTGGAGCCAGCGAATAAACCCAGGGGCTGGGAATGCATTATCCAAACCCTGACCCCAGCCAGATATAATTGTTTGAACAATGCAAATTGGAAAAAGATTTCATCTCAGATAGTTCTGTGTGAGATGGAGAATCATAGTTCATTACGTATTTATAATGAGAGGACTTTGCTTTCTCAAAGGCACGATAATTATCAGCTTCAAGCAGCTTTTGCATTGCAAAATTCTGCTATTTAACCTACTTGGCAGCTGCCGCATTCAAACAGCCATCTAAAGACATTATTACGTTTATCTGCACCTTTGCTCCTCCCTGTACATCGCTTGATTCCATCCCTTCCAGAGACACCATTTTTTAGGACAGCATTTCCCGCATGAAATAGAATTGAAGAAACCCCTCCATCAACTCCTTAGGGTTTCATAAATAAATAACTTCTGTGTAAAACAGCATTTACAGAAAATGCAACAGACACATTTTGCTGGAAATGTCAGTCCCAGAGGAAAAATCAGTAATAATTTACTACAGTATAGCTACTGGGCAGGAATAATACTGTTTATTAGCAAAAATTATATGGCAAAAGAAATGTAACTAAGGGAGTATCCTACAAAAAAGGTCTCCTACGTGATCCCAGATTCAAACACAACTTCTGGCTAATACATAAAAAGTTTAAAGTAGCTGCCAGGATTGTTTTCTTCAGGAAGGAGCGAGTATCCAAATATTCTCAGCTGGCATGGGCGGAATTCAAGAGAACCTGCACTGACTTACGCCTTTGGAGGAGGTGGGTGTTCCCTGAAGACTCCCAGCAACTCAGAGGTGAAAATGAGCTCTAAGATGAGCCCTTTGCAAATTGCTACCCAGGAGAAAACACAGAGGTAGCAAGGAAGAAGGATATTCTGCACAGAACGAGCTAATCAAGAAGTAAAACTAATTTAGAGAATAAGAAATGGGGCTTCCATGTCAAATCTGGAATTGAAAAATTGCTCTATCCAGCAATCTGACATGGAAAGTCACTTGAACTTGGAAGTGGGTGCCTGGTTTCAAAAGGATTAGTTACCTTTCCAGCTTTTATATCCAGCTCTTTATAGGTCTCGGGATCACAGTAACTCACCAGCTGGATGCCATCAGCATGTGCACTACGTAAAACAGCATAAACCAGAGAGGCACAAACCTACCTCATTTTGCAAGGCAGGAGGTGCCAGAAGACTCACACATCTGGCCGGGGCCAGGGTTCCCGTGCCTCGGGAATGGGTTCCAGGGCACCATTCCAGGCAGTTCCAACCCCAAGTGAGCACTGCCAGTAACACATCACCATTTCAAACTGCTTATCAGCATCAGAAAAGCCGAGTAAGAACCGGAGATTGACAGTTCATATTGTGACAATACCTTCTAATTCTGAGGGGAAAGCAAAAGCAAAGGGCAGCTGAGAATGGCAGGTTTCAGCAAGAGGAAGAAAGGGACTGGCCTGATTTACAGCTGTGTGACTTATGGCCACATCTGGCAGTGTAAGGCCAGGGAATTTTATGGGGAAGAAAACACCCCTTGATGCTTTTATAATTAGAGCAGACAACGTAGAGATAGTTTACACAAAGTGACTTCTTCTTTGGGAACATTTACCTGAAACCTTGGGCCAGGAACAGTGGGGAGACTACATTCAAAATGACAAATCTGAGTGCTTTGGACCTTCATTTCCATGTGTTTCATGCTCCTGAGTGGCTCACAGCAGAGACTAGATATGGGGTTTAATTCCCACTGCTCATCTGTATAAAATTATTACAGGGAGAAAAGTAGGTCCTTTCTGTACACAGCAATAATGAGAAGTCTTATCTAAAAACATCTTACACATGCTCAGCAAAGCCAAAGCAGTTTCTGCTGCTACTTAAGCATTTTGTTTCAATGATACTCTGAATATAGAGCTGGCAGAGACAGCACTTGGCTGCTCTCTGTCCTGGCTACAAGGCATGGGGAAGCCACACAGACATTGGTCCTTAAATTTTGGCAGGTTTTGGGAAAAAATCCAGATCCACTGAAGCAGTTTGAGCTGTTAGACAGAATTCATGCTTCTAATTAGGATAATTCACTCTAATAGGCCTCCGAAGGCTTTCCAATTTTGGCAAACATCTTTTAATGAGGCTCAAGTTGGATCCGTATGTCTTATATATTAAAATATTTTAAATAACCACTCCATG